CATTCGCCCACAACATTGCCCAACTGGCGGGGAAATGTCGGTTTCTTTGATTTAATTATTTTGACGTAGTATGCCTGATTTCACCTTAATGCCAAGCGTAATTTTTTTATTAAGGGAAATTCCAAAATATAATATTATAGCTTTTGTGCGTGTCTTGCTTCACTGAACAAACATCACAGCTGTGCATGAGTATGATAGACTTAGAGATGGTTCAGGTTTGGGGAGCTTAAGTAATGACACAACACGTATGCTCACCTTCCCGTCAAGCTTGAAGAAACACTTTGATATAACAGTAATATTACGTGTGTGATAATAATGTTGAATTAGTGTAGTCTACCTTGTGACAGGCATACTTTTATTGCTTACGAGTACGTTGATAAAAAGAATAATTATTGCTCTCATCTGCAGATTCATTTAGGTGTAATAATTGTTTCTAAGATAATACAAAGTTCTAACGACATTATCATACTTGAATAGAATAGAATAGAATTATTATAGTTCTATAACATTTAGTGATAGACTGCAATGCAATATAGTGCAATGTAATGCGATGTAAATCAAAACACTCCAATGTATTGTTACACTGTACAATGCAACGCAATACAATTCATTACAATGCAATGTTGATTGAGTATAATGTGTCACGATGCAGTGGAATTCGGCGCTCGTCAATACTTGGGCATGTCGGGTTATTGGTATATTCTTAAAGTAATTCCCGCTCAACAGTAAGCTCTGTGAGCTTTACAATCTATACATGTACTATTATTACCTCAGCACATCTGATGATAGGATTCTGAAACAATCTCAACTTCCTGGAAAGCATACAGTGCAAGCTGCCATTTATAGGCGATAAAACGCTAGCAGCACTCAAGCATAATAAGACTTTACAAATTAGCAAACCGTCAGTAACTTTCACAAAATTGATATCTTGCACAAATCTTTCTGTGGAGTAATGAATAATAACACCCTTAAAAACAAGATATTAATTGATGTTTATCCCTTGTTGTTTCTCGATTGGTTTCATTCCCTTTTGTATGACGATAATCTGTACGTTAAACCGGTATATCTGTTGTAAAATCAATAGTATAGACTATGTTGTATAAAATATTTATGTTGTATATCTGTTGCATATCAATAACATGTACACGTATATGGCTATATTATATCAGATAATATCTTTATTTATATCAAAGTTATTATATCTGTTGTATATCTGTCTACATCTGTAGTACATGTAGCCTATAATG